AATGGGTTAATTTAAGATAAAAGAACAGTTAGCAAGAAGCCTGCCACGGCCATACAGTTTATAAGTGATATAAGCGTCTGAGTGATTATTTTATATGTGGATTGTGGGACTGCGGGGCTTGGGGAACCTGGAGAGAAGCCCTCCAGCAACAGGGGGGGGACTCTGTCCTCCCTCACTCCCCCTTCTCCATTCTGGGATTTTGGATTTTAGACTCTTCTCCATGATTCCTTGGGATTTGCTCTTTGTGAGTGCCGAATGCTAACTGCGTCACCAGAGTTTCTCATCTACTCCATCAGGTCAGACGGAAACTCTTCATGTAAGGTCTTTGGTGGCTTTAGTAAGAAGGGCACAGCATCCATGAGTTTATTTTGGAAAACTCTCGTCTTTATGGTGTAGACAGTTTCCATGTACATACAATTTTTTATTTATTTATGTTATTATCTCTGTAGCTTTAATTTTTTTCCATAGAAACTTATACATTTTAGTTTTCTCTTTATTTCAGAATTTTATTGCTATTGTGAATATGATTTTTTTTTTCAGTTTTCTTCCCCTTCATCTCTCTGGGTGTTTACATGCTTCTGTCTTTAAATCTTTTAGAATTATATCAGAAGTCAGGCCACAAGGAGAGAGCCTTACTCATTAGGGGAAGGAAAGGTTCTGTAAAGACTCTGAAAGGAGTCTTCCCTTTGAGCAGGGTCTCATACAGGCAAGGAGTGAGCTGTGTAGTTGTTGGATGGGAAGGGGACAGGCAGAAGCTTTGTGGTGAGGCCCAAAGGCTGGAAATAATCCTATTTCTTGGAGCTGGGAACAGGCATGTTGAGTTGGATTCACTGTCTCGGCAAGATAGAGCCATGATCTAAGATAACTACTACACCCAGGAATAAATTGTTAGGTTACAGTTGGTGCTCATTAAACAAAAATCTTTAGCCGGGCAGTGGTGGCACACACCTTTAATCCCAGCACTTGGGAGGCAGAGGCAGGGGGATCTCTGTGAATTTGAGGCTAGCCTGGTCTAAAAAGTGAGTTCAGGGAAGGTGCAAAGCTACACAGAGAAACCCTGTCTCGAATAAAAACAAAACAAAACAAAACAAAAAACTTTACCACGTGTATGACTTTTTTTCTCTTGCTGTGATAAAACACTCTGACCAAGGGCAACTTAAGGAAGTAAAGGTTTATTTCAGATTCCAAGTCATAGTCTATCATCGAAGGAAGTCATAGCAAGAGCTTAGGCAGAAACTTGAAGCAGAAACCATGAAGAAATGCTGGTTGATGGCTTTCTCCAAGGCTTATGCTTAGCTAGTTTTCTTGTACAGCCCAGGACCACCTGCCTAGGGAATGGTGCCACCCACAGTGGTTTCCTATAGCAATGATCAGTCAACACAATCTCCACAGCATGCCACAGGCGATCTGATCTGGGCAGTCCATCCATTGAGTTTCCCTTCTTAGGGACTCTAGTCTGTCAAGTTGACAGTTAAAGCTAACTAGGACACTGGATAATTGCAAATTGTTTCCAGAAACATGCAATGTTTTAAATCAGATATGGAACTCTTAACAAATACTAAATACACACTGGGCCAGCATCAAAGAGTTGGTCATACGGTTACTCTTCTTAGCTGATGTGTTGAGAGCAGACAGCAACACAACAAAAATACTTTATATGTTTGGAAATTTGACAACGGATTAAAAAATCATTGATAAACTTACAAACTCACCCATATTGAAAAAGAAGTGAAGCTGAAAAGCTGACTGTGAACTCTGTGGTGTAGAGCTGCAGTTGTCCTTGCTAAGGCTGACATGGGATGCTTCCGAGTCAAACAAACCTAAAGAAAAATCAAAGGAAATAGTAAGTCCTCATGGAAATTGATGGACTGGGGGATGCAAAGAGCTCACTGATGAAGAGAAGTGAAGTGTTGAACTAACAAGGTCACTCAGAAGAGGAGGGGAGATGCTCAGTGCTCAAAGTGCTTTTCCATAAGAAGAGGGCCAGAGTTCGAATCCCCAGAACCCTTGTTAATGGTGGGTGAGTGTGGAGGCCCACCTGTAGTCCAGTCTTGAACGGCAGAGGCAGGGGATCCCAGAGCAAGCTGGAGGGCAATACTAGCTATCACCTGCAAGTTCTGGGTTTGATTGAGTGAGCCTGCCTCAGCGAATAAGGTGGGGAAGTGTGGAGGATGAGTCCTGACATCACCCTTGGACCTCTATATGTGTGTGTGCATGCATACACACATAAAACTATGCATACACACACACACACACACACACACACACACACACACGAATACACTCATGCATGCCGCACACACATGAAAAAGCAAAAATGATTTCTCAGATATATGATATAATCTCTAAGTGAGTTTATAAGTTTACATGTGTCTCAGGTTTTATAAAACATTAAGAAAATACTGCAGGTAACATTGTGTCTATGACATTAAACTAAAAAGTAATAATGCCCAACTGTAGTGTATAAATTCCTTTCTCTTAACTGTGTAATGTCTATTACCATGTGTGTGCCTGGGGCCTGTAGAAGTCAGAGGAGGGCATCAGATCTCCTGGAACTGGAGTTACAGATGGTTGTGAGGTGCCGTGGGTGCTGGGGATTGAACCTGGGTCCTCTAGAGTGAAGAGCCATTCCTCCAGCCCTTCACTGTCTTTACACATAAATATCCTCCTGGGACAAGTGTTCAGAGGTTTATGGTGGTTCACTGTGAAGCAAGATTCTCAGAGGTCATTATTTTTGTTCATCCAGGTTTTCTAGGCTCCAGTACAGGTTTTTTGATGTTCTGTTGTCATGGTGTGATTTGCTGTACAAAGCTATGGTGTGCTTCTGTGTTACCTGTACTTTACATATGATAATGTGATAGGTGTGCACCGTCATGCCTGGCTTAACACCTTTCTTTGAGACAGAAACACAGGGCAACTTCTGGAGGTCTCTACTATGGTTTCTTGGGATCGAACACAAGGTCATCAGACTTGCTTGCCGAGGGTTTCACCTGCTGAGCAATCTTACTGCACAATTACTGGTTTTGTTTGTTTTGTTTGATTTTAGTTCAAGACTGGGTCTCTCATATCCCAGGCCGTGTGTGTGTGTGTGTGTGTGTGTGTGTGTGTGTGTGTGTGTGTGTGAGACCTTGAGTGTGCTGAGACCCGGCATGTTTCCAGTGTCCAGCACAGGTCCACTACCTGTGTGTATCTTTGTCAACTCTTGATGAAGTCATCTGAGCTCCTGTATGCTGTGTTAGTACTATTAGTATTTCTGTGTTAGTGTCTCCTTCCAGCCCTGCGAATCTCAAGTGCAGCCATGCTTCTGCTTCCCAGCGCCACAGGTCTGTTTTGCTTATTTTGTGACCCTGTCAAAGGCAGCATTTTCTCTGTGCCTCTGGTTTCTTTTGTTCAGGGTTGTGCTTTGAGAGCCATATGTTGATCTAGCTGATGGTTTTTTGTTTTGTTTTGTTTGTTTGTTTTTTAGAGAGGCTTCTTAGTGTAGCTCTGGATGTTCTGGAACTCACTCTGTACACCAGGCTGGCCTCGAACTCATAGAGATCTGCCTGCCACCTCCTCCTGAATGCTGAGATTAAAGGCGTGCACCACCACCCAGCAAGATGTTCTTTTCATTGCTATATTTTATTAATTGTATGAAGGGCTGGAAAGATGGATCAGTCTGTATAGTGCCTGCTTTGCAAGCACGAGGATCAATTCCCAGAATATAGATTAAAAAAAGCCTGGCATGATGGGGCATGCTTGTAATTCCAGGGCTGGGGAGGCAGAGACAGGCAGATCCTTGGGGCTCATCGGTAGGCAGCCTAGCCTACTTCATGAGTTCTAGATTAGAAAGAAACCCTGTCTCAAATATAAATAAATGAAGAAAGGAAGGAAGGAAGGAAGGAAGGAAGGAAGGAAGGAAGGAAGGAAGGA